GGTGTGTAGATAAGAAAACCAGTTAAAGTACTACAAAGTCGTTTATTTAAACTTAATACATTTACTGGTAAAATGGATAACTTTGACTTCTTATCTTTTAACTCATATGGCACTGCTGAATTAATCCAACTCTACAAGAAACTAACGTTTCAAATTCAAACTTTTTTACAACATATTAAATTCAACAAAATTTGTAAGACATCATAATAACATAGTTGTGAACTACATATATCATATTTTATCTACCCGACTACATTACCTTGAACTACATGATATAATTTTTCCAGCTAACATATACATATAAAGAGATGAACTTGACAACACATGGAACAGAAAACGAGATAAATTGCATAAACTAAGAGAAAAAACTTATAAATTTAAACAAAACTATCGCCAGGAATTTCTCGCAACATCATTTTTGTCTTATGTTTGTTAATTAAACACTACTTAGTTTTATTATACAACAATTTATTAAGCGTCATTAAGCGTTTATTACATCTTACACCTTTTACTATGTATGTCTGTTGTTTATCAACCTTACTAGTAAAGCCATCTACCTAACACCGTATGTTATGTTTTGGTTATTTAATAAAATGTCTATTATATTATAACTGTTTTATTTAACTTGTTAGAACGTTACAACTCTGGCCAGCAATATCAATGTCAATCACACATGCATTGTTGCTTGCTTCATGGTGACGCACCAGTGCTGACAACTTACAAACTTATAAAACTATTATACAGGATGATTCACATAAGAACCGACACAGAGCAGGGACATGTAGAGGACAATAAATTAAGATGATTTAACGTAACTTACCTCTATACTAAGTTGTACACCTCAGGAGTTATAGGCCTTCAAAGTTAGCTCTTAAATTTTTAAAAAGTTCAATATCTTCGTAATACATTAAGCTAGAAAAACCAAATTTGGTATACGTTATGAGTGTACCAAGGGTATTAATTAGTAGCAAATTGAACCCAATTGAGGCATTTCATAAGGTTGATTAAGGGTGATGGTACCCTAAATTTTGACAAATTTTTTTAACCTTTTGGCGGATTTAATACATTACTACTTCATTTCATGTGGAATTTAATTCTAAAACTTTTCTTACTCGTATTATTTTTTAAAAAACTTTGTCGTTTTCATAAAAAACTTAAATAACTAAAGACGCGTATTTCGTAATGTTACTTAAAATAAGAGAAAATTTAGTAGTCGGCTATGAAATTGTACGTCAAACTTGAATAGGGTATAAAGTTATTTGACGACAAGGTTTTCTCCATCACCTTTCATTCTTGAGTTATGATTGATTTTAACACCAAAAGTACCCAATTTTGACATTTTGGGGATTTTTTCTTTATCACCTGAAAATCATTACATCTAAACTAAATTTGTTTATGGATGATGTCTTTTTAGTTGACAATAAACAACTTATTCCTAAAAAACTTTTCTCCATCACCTTTCATCCTTGAGTTATGATTAATTTTAATACAAAAGTACTTAATTTTGATATTTCGATGATTTTCTCTTTATCACTAGAAAATCATTATAACTAAACCAAATCTGTTTATGGATGTTGTCTTTTTAGTTCATAATAAACAATTTATTTCAAAAAAACTTATCTGCATCACAATTAATTTTTGAGTAATGATCGATTTTGATAACAAAAGTACTCAATTTTGACATTATGGGGATTTTCTCTTTATCACTAGAAAATCATTACATCTAAACAAAATCTGTTTATCAATAATATCTTTTTAGTTCATAATAAACAATTTATTCCNGGCGTTAGTTCCACCACCCACCGCTAGGTGGCGTCCCATGAAGTAGGCAACCAACCAACATGGCGTTAGTTTCACCACCCACCGCTAGGTGGTTAGTTCCGCTATCTACCGCTAGGTGGCGCCCCACGAGGTAGGCAACCAACATTACATACACGTACTGCGCATGCGCTGACGTCATATCCGCTTCACTGCGCATGCGCGAGGGAGGATCAGGATCACTTCCTGTCCAGAATCGGCCTTTTTACACTACTGTTATCTAGTCTCATGGCTCTTATAATAGACCCTAGAGGTTCTCGTAGATCTGCTAAAAATGTTTTTAATGCTCGCTTTTTGAAAAAATCGCGTTTACTGTCTCTTTGTTCAGCGTCACATTTTAAATCAATGTAATTACAGATCGTATTAAGTAAATGAGTTATTCGTTCGTGAAATTGAGAAGATGTTTCGTTAGGTTTTTGTCTCAAATTAACCAAACCTTAATTTAAACAATTTTCATCGCGTTGGTCTCCAAAATTTTGAATAAGGGTGCTTTTAATATTTTTTTGCTTTTAATACCTTCTAATTTATTTAATATGCCATTAAGCAATAGAACATTCTGAAAATTACTTGCATTTGCTGTATCAAAATAATGTGTTAATATTGCTTCTGAAGCCTCGATAAATCTATGCAATTTATTCGGATTCCCGTCAAAATTAGGAATTATACTAAGATTTTTTATATCTAATACTGGAGGTGCCATTTGCAAATTTTCTCCTAATTCTACTAATTGTGTCTCGTTTTGAGTTTCTAACTTTAATTTATTAAATCTTTCAATTAAATCTAAATCTAACTCTAAATTTTGCCCTAAATCTGCGTTGTTTTCGTCAAATGAATCAACAGGAGAGATAGAGGAGCCTGACATCAACAAGAAAAATTACTCACAGTATCACCAGTGTAAATTCCATTGGTGCGACGACCTGCTTGGTTTTCCTCGATGGATCCTAGATCTGGATGCGCCCTGGTACTTCAGCACTGGATTTTTGCTCGGGATAGTCCGAAAAGGATATTTCGACGAAAATATCCTACTGACTGCGCCCATTATAAACAATAAGATTCGGATACCGTTTTTAAAAAAGTTTTATTTCTTGGTGTTTTAACTACAATAGTTTCGTACAGACTGAATTAAAAAATGAATAAACGGAAATTGAAACAAACAAAGAAAAATCTAATTAAGCGTATAAAAACAATAGTAATCTTAATTCCAGGAATCGTCGGGTGTCAGTCATTCCGGGAATAATATATAACTAGCACTATAAAATGCACTGAGGAAGGTTACAATAAATAACCGAAATATTAGCTTTTTAAAAAGTTGTTTCTTTAATTAAACCTGGACCGTACACCCCGAATAGTCGCATTTACTTGTTGCTTAATTGACAAGGCACCGCAAAGACGAGGAACGATGTCGTCTATTCCAGTTGAAGTCACTATTATCCTTTTTCTATTCCTTTGAAACTTTTGTTTTGCGAATGAATTTTATTATCTCCGAAATAAACTTTGAATGAGTGACATATTAAGTGGACGTCCCTTGAAATAAGTATCAATGGTGTCGTGTCGAGATATTTATAGACCTTATCCAAAAAAAGGCAAAGAAATGAAAGACGATCTCACCGTAATTTAATAATAATAATAATAGTAATCGTCTGTACCTTTCACCGTAGTCAGAGCGCGTGCGTGTAATGTTAACGAACGGTGGAATCTTTCAGCGAAACGTATAGCAAATCTGGCAGAGTAAATGCAATTACTGAATTCGTCACATCAGACCCATCGACAGTAGAAACGCTCACTCGTTACAGCCATCCCTTTTTCAATTTTACTCGGTCAAAAACTAGGGGTGCTACGGGAATGCTACATCGGTGCCAACATTGTCGAACCGAGCGAGTAACGGGAAAAATTAGAACGTGCAAAATATTTCGCATAGCAAAGGAATAACAGTGGCAATCTTTTTACATTGTTTTCATAGTTTTGTTCTGTATGCACTTTGTATCTCGATCAGTGTGGACTTAATTATCAAGACCGAAAAATGTCCAACATGACGTTATCGTTTATTAATAGATACGGCTTGAACACTTTCATAGCGTATAATAATCATACGCTATGAAAGTTTCGTTTATTAATGTTTCGTTGCAATCAACAATTTACTATTCAATTTCAGTTTGTGTGTTTCGGTTTCAAGCTACCTGTTTCCCTGAGACGTCTTACGATATTTCCAAACGTTTGGTGATTTGGCACTCAACGATTAGGAAACTTTTCGCTATAAACTCGAACGCTTTTGCGACCATGAAATAGACATTGGCCATAAACTAAAATCATATCTACTTGCTCATCATATGTGTAAGATATAAAAATAATGTTAAACACGATTTATTGATGTTAACTGACAGTTAAATGCAAAGCATACTAAGTATGTTTTATCATATGCTTTGAGGATCATTGAATTCCAACGCTTTTGATCAATTAATGATATTGTATTCACGTTAAACATAAATTGCAATAGACAACCTAAGCCTTGACGTCATAGAGATGGGCGGAGCTTATACCAACTCCAAACATTTCCGTTGCTAACTGTGTTGCTAACGGTAAATCACCATATGCAATTTTTCATTAGTGTTAAAATAAAATAAACTAAGTGATCACATTTCAAATGAAATTTTTTGCCGATTTATCGTTAACAACTGTGGTTATCAACGAAATTGTTTGGAGTCAGTATAAGCTCCGCCCATCTCTGTGACGGCAGACTTAGGCAGTCTATTAGTTGAAATCAGTGCCAACTACGATGAGGTAACTTTTATAACTGCAATGGCGTAAACAAGACTGGCAGATATTTAAAAATACCTTGTTACGTTTTTATTTTTTTTTTTCTGTTTCTTAGTGTTTCTTCTCAATAGACAGGTAGCAAAATTTGTTTTATGTTTTTTGTTGTTTCAGCAGCAGAATTTGAGAATCCTTTGTCCTTACCTTTCCTTTTACCCATTAGATGTCGTTATTCCTTATTTCTTTAAAATTTTGTTTGCAAAATATCTATTAATAATCTTATTAATTTTTTTTGGGAGGGAGGTTTTTTTTGTTTGTTAATAAGGGATTTAGTTTTTAAATAAAAGACAGATTTTTAATACCTACAGTATTTATTTTGACTTTTACTTTTGGGAGTTGCGCGATAAGGTACTTTTTTTTTTTTGAAATTCGAGTCGAGTATAAATTCGGACGGGTTTTGAAAACTCGGTCTCTTTGGTTTTGGTGACAATTCTCTCCGCCGTTGGTGAAGAAAAGCAACGACGAGTGTAAATCAGCGTAGATAGACATTTTGGAAAGTTTGGGGGGGGGGAACCATTTTTTTTTTAATGAAATTCTTGGTCCTAAAATTCTGAGCACATTTTAATAACTTCAATACCACTGGATATCCATTCCTTACCATACCATCTTGAAGGAAGCTGCTGAAGATCATCCAACTCATACCTTTTCGAAGTTGACTATAAAATATAAGAAAAAAAAGGAAGACAACTTAAAGTCAAATCAACAATTAGTTTTAAACTTTGAATTTTTTTTTAATCTACTTTATTGTCTGTCTATTGTTTCACTTATTAAGTTTGATAATTCAATTTTTTTTTGTACATTATAATAATACTTACCTAGTATAATTTAGGATCTTTTTTTTTAAAAGAAAAAAAAAAAGAGTAACATACAAACTAAATTTAGGATATATAACTTTGTTTTGTTTTGAAATTGCGAATCAATTTATTATAATTTGTTTTACTTTTGTAAAAGAGTTTAATTGGAATTTTTTGTTGGTTATTATTTTGAAATTCAATTTTTTTTTAATTTAATCGATTTCTGAAACAAATACTTGCGGTAGACAATCGGTGTCGCGGTCAATCAGGTGTTTCATTTAGTTTTTTTTTTTTGGTTATCCAATTAAATCTTTTTAGTTTCATTTTTTTTTTATATATATTTTTCGTTAGGTTGATATTAATTTTGATTTGATTTAACCTACCTATATAATTTATTTTATTTGATTTTTTTTTTGCAATATATATATATCATTTTGCTTACCTGCATCTATTGAGTTTCTTTATTTTCTTTCTATATCTTTGTGTTGTTAAATTTTCGTTATTGTATGAACCTCTTGTTTCCAACATCACTTCACAATCAGTGCCCGTTGCGAATTAACGGATTGTGTGGCGCCTTAAATAAATGGAACCTTCCCTTCTCCAAACGAGTTTGCCGGGGAGTTCGCAACAAACTGGTTAGGTTTAATGATAACGTAAATTGTTTTGCGGGTTGTGTGTCATTCGGGTAACAATTTCAAAAATTATCATAATTTTCATTTCGGGTGCGTTTTAGTTTTCCTTTTTTTTTAAGGCGTAACAACCTTTTTTCTGGAGTAATAGAATATGAAGTAATATTCGGGAACACATGACTTTTCCATCATTCCTGTGTTTCTAAAATTGTATCAAAAACCATAAAAAGACGTTAATTGAACCTAGGAACTCACTTAGTATCTTAGTATCTCCTTTAGTATCCATTATAAAAATAACCTTAAACACGATTTATTGATGTTAACTGACAGTTAAATGCAAAGCAACTAGGCTTTATCATTGCAATAACACATGCATTATCCTTTTGTTTCTGAGAATTGATTAAAAGCTTTAGTACTGAAACAACTAAATAGGACTACGTTCTTTCCTAACACTGTATGCTTTTAGGATCATTGAATTCCCACGGTTTTGATCAATTAATGATATTGTATTCACGTTAAACATAAATTGCAATTAGTTGAAATCAGTGCCAACTACGGTGAGGTAACTTTTGTAACTGCAATGGTGTAAACAAGACTTGAAGATATTTAAAAATACCTTTTTTCTGGCTTAATCACTTATGTAATCAAAATCTTATGAAACAAAAACGGTTCAGAACTAAATGGGCTATTCAGAAATTATAATAATGTAATTGGTGCCCGGCCAGAAAGAAGAATATGGAGTAATATCCGGGAACACATGACTTTTCCATCTTTCCTGTGTTTCTAAAATTGTATCAAAAACCATAAAAAGTCGTTAATTGAACCTAGGTAGTCACTTGTGAAAAAGAATTTGTTTGCTAACTTTGAAGTGCTCTAGCGGCGAAACGAAGCAACTTTGGATATAGATAACTTAACTTAAATCGACCTATTTTGAGCCAAGGAATCTGTGGTCTTCCGTTATACACGCATTTCGGAGATAGCCTGTATATCTTGGTAGGTATCAACTTTATAAAAAAATATTTTATGCAAAAGTTGTTTAATATTTTATTTGCCATAATAAGACAGCATTCAATTGTTTTTATTTCAGAAAACAAAGGAGTACGAATAACACTTGAAGTTTTTTAAATGGCAATGTACCCTTTCATTTGACAGAGATTTTTTCTCTTTACGATGAGGTAAAATTTTAGTACCCTTATATCAAAAAAATTTTGAAAAAAATGTAAAAATTGTTTATTAAGAAAAATTAACTAATAACATTAATCTAGATATCCGAGATCGTCAAGTACCTCGTATTATTGGAAATGTACACTAATTTTTCGTTTATTTGTTTTATTTTGTATGAAAATTTAATTTACGGTAATAATTCAAGGTACTTGACGATCTCGGATATCTAGATTAATGTTATTGATTAATTTTTATTAATAAACAATATTTACATTTTTTTCAAAAATTTTCTAATGTAAGAGTACGAAAATTTTACGTCATCGTAAAGAGAAAAGTAATCTCTATCAAATGAGCAAAACGAAAGAGTACATTGCCATTTTAAAAAATTCAAGTGTTATTAGTTACTCATTTGTTTTCTGAATTAAAAACAATTGAATGCAGTCTTATTATGGCAAATAAAATATTAAACAACTTTTGTATAAAATGTTTTTTATAAAGTCAACATTTACCAAGATATACATATACAAAATAAATAATATTGATTTTCCAACGGTGGCCAAAGTGCGGCTCTTTGTAAACAAATGTTTTGTAATACCTTTTTTGCATATCATTTTAATATATACGTATTTAATACGGCTCGCGAAAAATTTCAAATTGAAAAATGGCTCGGACTATCACAGAGCTTGGTCACCCCTGCTATATTCTATACATAATGGGCGCCTATATACGTTAGCCGCAATATCCGAAATTCACTTGCGTAAACGAGCCATCGACCATGAGATGAAACTGAAAATCTACTCTACTAGATAATCAACTTTATCAACGAGTGGAGATTTACATTAGTTCCGTACACACACGTTTTAATCCGTTAACATGCAATATTTTCGTATGATTGCAATCTCACGACTCCGATGTTCTATAATATAAAATAGTACAAAGAAATCGCTTTTCTTTGCTCTATCGCCAACGTTCGTTATTTAAAATTAACTGTAACCAACCAGGCGTTACAAGTTTAGATCCAAGGACGGTTCCTCGTTCAGCAAAACGTTGCCAGCCTTAGGTTTAGTAAGCACGAATTGAACGGTTAATATTTGATGGCGAATTAGCGAACCGTGATGGGCAAAAACCGTTATTGGCGATGGGACTTTTTTCCCACACGGGACCATAAAATTGATGACTGGAAAATTCGAAGTTTAATAGAGTTTCATGGGCACTGAAAGAACGATTTGTTTACTAATCGATTTAATGCTTAACATGCACCTTTCTCATTAATATAAACCACCTTATTAGTGAATATAACATAAACGAAACTTTATAACTTTTTAATTCATATTATAACTTATTTTACATCTCCTAAAATAAATGGTATACCTGATGTGTAAATATGAAACCGGAATTTTTTATTACATAATATTTTATTCCAAATCTAACAATTTGTGGATGCTACGTCAAAAAACTGTTGCTGTTTTAAAGAATAAGAAATATAAGAATCAAAAATAAATCTAAAAAATTAAGCTGTGATGCAACAGAAAATGGATTTTCAATTATAATTCGTTCCTCAATTTCAGGGGCAAGAACTTGAAATGTATCAAAATACTCCATTACGCACTCGATGATGTTAGACATATTTGTAGTAAACAAAAAATTAGATTTTCCGCTGCTTAACGATAGATGTCCATCCCCGTTGTTTACTAAATACTCGGTAGTTACAATTCCATAGAAACTGCTATTATGGATAGGCTCATATTTAGGGTTTCTGCAATATGCGCATTTCACAAAAACGGATTTTATTCGTTCACCTTCTGGTTTAGCGAAATCATAAACAATTTTCAAGCCAGATACGTGTAAAAACTCATTTCTTAACTTATATTCGTTACCTTTAGCGCCGTGCTCTAAAGCTAACATTAAATCAGCTCCGGATATTTTAATTAAATAAAGTAAATCGTCGACAGGGAGTGCTTCTAATATGTCGAGTTTATAGACATTGTTCTTCCTTTTTCCGGGAATGATGTTTTCACGGATTGCTCCACTGTTAATTATGGCTATTGCAGCATCCGACCACATGTCGTTTGAAACTTGTTCATATCTTGAATAGGAGATATTTGTTACAAAAATTATTTATAGATAAAATCAATTTCATACTTAGACAAATACCGTTTAGCGTTAAATCGAACAAACGAATCCGTTATCAAGTTTCCAAAGTTACACTCATCGTATTTACAAGACGACGCATTCAATACAACCCTGCACTTACCAAGAAATGTTTCATTAGCCTCAGTTATTGCAGGACGAAATGTCTCAAGTAGTTCTAAGAAAAATGTATCCTGCCCAATGGACTCGTCCAACAAAATAGGTTGACCACTATACTGCCCTCTAAAACGTCTTTCATCAAACGATACGTGTAATTTTCCAAGATACTTTGTTCTACCACGTACATAAGCAATTGCAAGTTTAGCCCCATCGGAACGTTGAACAAGGGTGGGATAAACACCGGTTGGTTTTTCATTATCCGGCGGTACACCATTCCACAAAAAGATTTGAGAATCTCCGCCGATAATAATATCGACGTATCTCACTAACCTACTCAGCATCATATCTGATGCTGAGCTACCATGACTCAATACAATAACTATATGAACTCCATCCACCTTTCGAAGAGATTCGGAAAGACTATTTATAATTTCAACTTCCTCCAAAATATCCACAGTAGGGGCTAAATTACCGAAAGAATCTCTGCGATTCCTCATATATCCTAAAATTCCGATAATTGTCTTTTCAATTTTAATTATATGTTTCCGTTTTATTAATTTTTCAAGTTTGGGTTCTCTCGTAAAACCTAGGTTTGACACCACCACGGGAAAGGTGACATTCGAGATATATGGCATTAACCCATCTAATCCATACGAAAATTCCGCATTACCCAAACACTAAAACAAATATTGTGCAATTTGGATTAAACGGAGCAAGGAAAAACACACCACAGCATCCGGTTTTATAGCATTCATAAACGCCGTGGCGATTTTGTCTTTGTGAATTGTAAACCATGCACTACCAGTATAAACGTCTCCACAATCAAAGTAAAGAACAGGTGGTCCTTTACCTTTGCGATAATTTTCTTTAGCCTTATTCAATACGTATGCAATTCTAGCAAATCCACCAACTGGTTTTTCATCTATTGAACTGTACGTTTCGTCAAAATAACCGTGAATATTACTTGTGTGGTAAATCACTAATTCAATTGATTTTACAGGAATCAATTGCAATAACACGGCGTAAATTAGAAAATATGACGTTGTTAATGTCAACATAATTGACTAACAGTAAATAATTGTTGCTATATCGTAATCCATTAATACTTAGGGTTACAATATAAGTATAAATTATTATATACCGTACATTTAAACACGAGGGTTCTGATATTCCAGTATTTTTGGTGAGATATATTAACGTCGTAATGCGTCTGGTTTCCGACCATTTCCATTCCGAAATGCTTCGTGCCATGAGTTTCAAAGCAAGCTAACCGTTCCCCACATATAGGCATATGAACCACATTTTTTCTTAAATATGCTTATATGAGCGATGGGGGCCCATATTTTGCACCCCCTTTGAAATATCACCACAGAAATAATTTCCCTCGAAACAAAGAGAAAAATGTATATTACGATTTTAATGTGAGCTAAAAAGTTATAGATAAATTCAGTAGTTTGTTTTTGATTCGACATTGATGCGATGAAAAACGTGTAAAGCTAAAATAAAACTGGTGCTACAAATGGTAGCGTTTCATTTTTATCACGCGCCGACTGCTATTTTGTCCGGATATAGGACACTGAAAGAAATTTTATACGTATTATTAATAAACGCTGTTTATTAATAGCAACTTCATTGTCACATTGAAATTTTCATCGATATTATGAAAATGTTATAGATTTTTCTTGGTGACTCTATAATGCATTTATCAATATTACAAATTCGATTTGTTGAAATTAATGTATAAGAATTATGCTGGCAACAACCTTCTTAATTCGGGCGAAGTATTCAATCATTACATCAATGAAACTTTTCTGTATGCTGATAATTAAAATCAATAACACGAATTCGTAGTATTAATGTATACGTTTATTGGTCAATGAACAAGTACAGGGTGGTTCAAATTCGATGTCCGAATAGGCTAACTAGAAAACTATAAGAGTTAGAAGAAAAGTAGCTAACATGTCATGATCTCGTTTTTCGAGAAACTGCTAATGCCGAAAACCTCATAGCGCTATTGTCTTTTGTTTTTCCGCTAGAGGCCAAAATTGAAAATATCGTAAAACCCGCAAATGTAATTATCTTGGTTATTATTATAGGTGGAGTATTATAACTAAGACATTATACGGACACTTTTTTACAGAGAATTTGATGAAGTAGTCAAAAAAAATTTGTCGGTTTTAGATTTTGAGATATTATCTAAAATATAGGTTTGACAGGACTATTTCTTATTGTTTTAGAATAAAACTAAAAATAAACTTTTCTTTTAGTGTCGTCGAAGAAATTAAATTTACAGTTTTCTGTAAATTACGTTTCTGTAACTAAAAATTAGAAAAGCATATTTCTGATATTTGAAACAAATATATTTGTTGAACTGTTTAATTTATATATGTTTTACACAAAAGTTGGAATAGATTGCATTATTTCACATTTTTTATTACGATTTAATATTATTTTTAAATGACAATAAATTATCGATAGATGGCGCTCATATGTTTTTTTTAATTCAAATAAACATAGCAACATTTTCAGCAACAAAAATTTTCTGAAGTGTCACTTTAAAAATCCTGTTTTTAAGATCAATTACGAAAATTTTGAAAAGTTTGACATGTTAGAATGTTACATATTAAAAAATTATTTGTTTTTAAATACCAAAAGTTATCTTCGTATTTAATTGTTAACTTTTTAGATTTTACCTACCGCCCCGTAACTTACAGGAAACTGTAAATTTAATTTCCTCGACAACACTAGATGGAAATTTTATAAAAAAAGTTTATTTTTAGCTTTATTCTAAAACAATAAGAAATAGACCTGTCGAACCCTATATTTTTGTAATCAGAAAAAAATAAAGAATTTAATAAGCGAATAATCAGTGGTTGTTTCCATTTAAAAAAACGAAAATTCTCATGATATCTCAAAATCTAAAACCGAAAACTTTTTTTTGACTGTCATGAAATTCTCTGTAAAAAAGTGTCCATATAATGTCGTAGTTATAATACTCCACCTATAATAACAACCAAGATAATTGCACTTATTGGTTTTACGATATTTTCAATTTTGGTCTCTAGGAGAAAAACAAAAGACGATAGCGCTATGAGGTTTTCGGCATTAGCAGTTTCTCGAAAAACGAGATCATAACATGTAAGCTACTTTTTTTCTAACTCTTATAGTTTCCGAGTTAGCCTATTCGGACATCGAATTTGAACCACCCTGTACATCACCTTAATGTACACATCGAAAAAAAAATTGATAACCATAATTACTAACATTACGAATCCGATTTATTGATATTAATGTACAAATGATCATTGTCTCAACAAATTATTTTATTAGGGAGACGTATTTTATTCATTATAATGTCGAAATAATTTGTTGTGCCAATAACAAGATTATATAAGAGCGCCAAGTTCGTAAAATTAACGTAATATTGATTATCGGAACGTATTAAACATTAAAAAAACTGAACGAATCCAATAAGTTATGATTTACAATTCGTCCTTTACGAACCTTGTTTACTTGTTTCTACCCGTTTCTGCTTATTTCCAAAAATCGTATCTTTATTCTGTGCTAGCTCATTCGCTTATATCACGTGTTCCTTCGCGTAACGAAACTTCTGGGTGAAGTGAATTTAGTGAATTGTGCAATTTGGTAAGCAAAATACTGTTTTGTTTTACCTGTTACAAAAACTATTAAATTGTTGTAGATTTATATTTGACTTGAGATAATTTTTATAAAATAAGTTTTGTTCTTCAAAGTGCTCAACTTTGCTTGTTTTTTTTAACATGTCTATTAATATTTTAGTAGGATACTTAAATTGAGGTGCATTGATGATAATAACTTTTGGTAGGTATTTTAAGTTGTTGATAATAATGATTTGATCATTAACATATGATAATCTCTCTTCCGAAGATTTTGGCCATGCTTGGAAAGCCTGCAGACAGTTAAGGTTTACAGACCTTAAAACGGTAACCTCAACATCAGAATTACTTGAAAAATGGCCATTTTATAAAAGGCCATATGGGTTTCGTTTGGTATAAACAGTATCTCTTTCGTAATTATACCAGAAAAGATTACAACATGTTATTTTACAGATTAACATGGACTTTACGGCAGGGTTTGATACTAATCACGATAGTTTGTTAATGAATTGGAAGCAATGTGAGGAGATAATTATGCATTCCTAAGTGACAAAAATCATGTCAAAGAAAAAGGCATAATATGCAACATCGTAAATCAATTACGAGAAATGGGTACCGATGATGATGAAGGTGAGTTCTAAATATGCTTTACTTAATTGTATTTCTTCACAACTTATTTGAATTTATTTTGTTAATTCTAGATGGTGGCGTAGCAGCCGCTATGTGGCTGCACTAATACAACCTGTCTACAACCTGTTCCCGTGCGGTTATTATAAACATTTCGAAAAAAATTTATTAGAAAAATCGCTTCAGAATAATGCATCCTTCAACCGTATAATGCTCTGATGCGGAAGATACGGGACGCCTGTATACCCGGGGGTATTTACCAAAGATGGGTATTTACAGGTATTTAAAAAATTTAATTTAAATTGAGTAAATGGCAGTTTTGCAAGAAGCACTTCAAGAATGCAGAGTCGAAGAAGGCTACAATGACGGTAAAATTGCATAAAAGTACTGAAGAGAGTAAAACAAGTAGATACAATGTTGAACCCAAATTGTTCATCACAGTCCTGCAGAATGTATTTAAAGAACTGGATTGAACCCAAGAAGGCATAAACATTGATGGCAAATACCTAAATAATTTACGCTACGTGGACGATATAGTTCTTATTTTAGATAGCCTTAGAGAGATGAAATTAATGGTGAACGACTTACAGGAGGTGTGTGCAAGAGTCGAGCTAAATATTAATTATATAGATAATCAAACAAGCGATATAAACAGAAGGATCACACTCGCATGGACAGCCTAAAGAGAGTTTGCTGCATAAAAACTTTATAAAATGCCGTTTATTTTTCCCAACCAAGAGTTAGCAGATATTCACTTATGGGTTTGCAAACGGAAATTCAGCAGAAGTAGCCCTAGAGTATAGGAGAAGATATCCGAAATAGAAGACATCCGCATCCTTCTGTGTTTGTGAAAGTGCATAATAATAAATAGTTGAAAAAGGTCTAAATAATGACGGGTAGATTGTAATAATGAAAATGTTAAACTGCAAAGAAACTTTAGAAGAAGAATTTTGCGTGAGTTCGACACAGACCCGAGTACGAGTGTTAGAAGAGTTTCGAATACCTTATGAATTTCTAGGGCGCGTGTTTATTGCCTTTTAAAACATGATCATAGACGTGCTTATCATTTACAACCCTTGCAAGGATTGCAACCAGACGATGAAGAACGGCGTGTAACGTGTTATCGGTGGATTACTAAAGCATCAGCCAACAATAGAGATTTTTTAAATAATGTAATGTGGAACGATGAATCGTGTTTCACAAGATGTGGGATTGTAACTTTCACAGTTTACATGTTTTGGTATCCCTACGCAATTCGGCCACGAAATTCCCAACATGAATTTAGTGTCAACACTGGGTAGGTGTTTATAATAATTATCTTTTCGGGCTATACTTTTTACCACCACAACTAACCGCTGCGGCGTTCGTGTAATTTTTGGTAGCTGACCATGCATGTGGGATAACATTGATTTAGCTTTAAGAAGACAGGCCTGGTTTCAACTTGATGATTGTGCAGCTTATCACGGTAGGGTGGTAAGAAATTGGCTAGACAAACATTTTCCTGCAAGATGGATTGGTCGTGGTGGGCCAGACACATGCCCCCACGATCTGCAGATCTTAATTCTTTAGACTTTTTTGTGTGGAGGTATTTTTGAGAGGAAAATTGTATGAGACACCTGTTCCTACAAGGGATGAACGTTTAATAGGATTAGGAATGCTTGAATGACATAAGGCCGTTCTTAAATACCCTTACTCGATCAGTAATTCGTCGGTTAGAATTATGCAAGCAAAATTTTCTACATTTTCAACAATTTCTTTATTTTAACATTTAGATTAAAAAATATTAATAAACTAAAACATTAGTTAATTTACCTACTTTGTTTCCATGGCACACATTATTTTAACTATCTTTAACTATCCTCTAAAAACATTGGTCTGTATCGAATAATAAAAACCGGATTATCTTGAAAACGATAAACTTTAGCGCATTTTGATAAGAGTACCCTTTTTGCTTAAAAAAGTACCGAGAATAAGATTTTTTATTCAAAAAGCCAAAAAGTATACTGTCAGAAAAGTTATTGTTATTTTAATCCGTAAAGAGAATACGTTACAGAGTGCCGGCTATAGTAAAACGGACTCCATAATCGTTTTTTCATGCCAAAAATCCTCCGTATACCAAATTTGAAAAGAATCGGTTGAAATACACGTGTAATCTATATATTTAAAAATGAATGTTTGTCTGTATGTCCTTTACAGAATCGTAAACTATGCATTTGATCACGTGATGATATTTAGCAAAGTTGTTGTGCATGAGCCCACGAAGGTTTCTAGAGGAGTCATTTTATTGCTTTTGAAGAAATCCTGTATCTTCCAAAAAAGCGTGTGTCGCCTATGTTTATATGAAGTTTTTGTGTTAATTTTTAAAGATCTATCGGCTGTGAAAGTCCTGCTACAAAAACCTGACAAACCCTCTATATTTGAAAACAAAGGCTTTCAATCAATGCGTGTTTCCGCTTATGACATATACGACTCCAAAACATTAACGTTAACATTTTCTTCATTTATGATGTAAGTTATATCCGTAAGTATATACGTAAGTTATATGTACAGTATGTCCCCGGATGTCCCCAAGTTACAAAGAGGAAAAAAAATGTATTACTGATTTTTCAAACTTACCTCAGCATAAATAGCACTTTTACCACCTCTAGTTACAATGGTTGTTAACTTTAACTAATGGTTAGCGCAAAAATCGGCTTTTACCACCATATTTACCTTGTTGATAGCGCTAACTAATAGTTATTTTCGGTCTATCCGAAATTATCGGTTTGGGGGTCGGGTTAAATATTTACCTCATTGATAAACTTGGTTGAAGGTATTTTTAACTAGATGGCGTAACATAAATCTAACCTAAAATCATAATAAACGCTTACGTTCGCTCAAAACTCCATAATAGTGATTAAAACGGTGTTATTGTCGTGTTATAACAGTGTTACACAGCGATAGAATAAAAAATCATGGATTTCGAAAGGTTTGAAATTGATGAGCAAGAAATCTTGGAGAAAATTAATTATCTATTTCCCTTTCGGGGTGGACGCGTAATAAAAGACAGAATAGACCACGTCCGCCATCAAACTGATGAATTTATTAAAAGATTTCGATTATCAAAGGAATGTGTGTTTTCACCACATTTTAGCACAAATTGATAATGACATCAAACCACGAACGAGGAAGTATTATATATATTATGTATAGCACCTAGTTTTTATCAGTAGAAGAATTAATAATTATTTTTTTTTAGATATTCTGCAATCCCTGTTTCAAATAGATTGTTGCTTACTTTAAGATTTTTTTGATACAGGCAACATGTTATTGGATGTAGCTGACTTTTGTGGAATTAGCGAATCATTAGCTTTAGGTCAATAATAGAAGATTAGTAGTTATCAATTATTTTCGGAACTTATAAAAATAAACTTTATAATTATAACAAATAATAATAAGAAAAACGTTATTTACAATAAATATGTACATTATTATTATTTAAATATCGTCAACAAGTATTTAAAAAATAGATAGAACTGTCTTTTTCTTTTCTTAATTTTTTTATCTCCACTTTTTTTTTCAATTTTATCACTTCCATCTCTTTCCTTCTCATTTTCTAACATTAATGTTGTTAACTCTAATCTTTTCTTTAATAACTCATTATAGGTATCGTGAACAGCTTTATTGGACACTATACCATATAAAGCAGATCAATTTTTTATAAATACATAGTAGGTTAGTTAGTATCAGCTAATATTTTGATTGTACTTTTACTTTTCCTTGTTGTTTGCAAAACCGAAACGTTATTTTTCACGTACTAACGTGGCTATTTTTATTTTCGAGGACATTTTTATGATCCGCCACCAAGTCAAGTAAAAGTGTTATTTCTTCAGGTTTAAAATTTGCCCCCCGAATACGCTTTTCGGCCTGATTTGCGGTTTTTGTTTTTTCGTGATCGTTAATTGCCACTAACAGAACTGACATGTTTATGAGAATTACCCACGAATTACCGACCATTACCGACGGACAAAGGACATAGAAACCTGTAATACCTCTCTTACACGTAGTCACCAACAGTCATTATAATATTCCCCTAGATTTTGACGTTAACTACTAGATAGCCTATCCATTAGTTAGATCGAAATGGTAAAAGTCGTTTCGTAGTTAACTAATAGATAAACGTTATCCGATAGTTAGACTAACGACCAGTTTAACTAGAGGTGGTAAAAGCGGACCTAAATCGCACGAACTTTATATTCTAACTATAGAAGTTCACTAATTATTCCCATTTTTATGTAAAAATTATACTTTTCCTAAATTAAAAATTTTTCAAGTTCAATTTACGATAAATAACCATAGAAACCAATAAAATAAAAGTTACAACTTATATTAGTGAAAACTATACGGACAAATCAAATTAAAATATGGCTAATTGAATAAAATTATTTTAAATGTAATTTTTTTATGTAAAAACCACTATGTAAGTAATAAATATTATTTATTTGTAAGTGAATAAATCCTCATTCAAACAAATTCCCTCCCAATTCGGCACACATTTGAAGACGAGTTCTAAATTCTTTATAAGAAGTACGAATTTCCGCCAGTGGTAGAGATTCTATCGCTTTAATTATTCTTAGTTTTAATAGTTCTGCATCATCTTGTGGTTCACTGTAAACAATTTGTTTCAATCGCCCCCAAAAATAAAAATCCATAATTGTAAGATCAGGACAACGTGCTGGCCATCAACTAGGACCATTCAATTCAATCCATTTTTGACGAAATTGTTAATTTAACCATTTGGCACAATGTGTGAATGGTAAGCTGGACAACTGTCTTGCTGAAAGTACATTGACCGTATAAAATTTAAGGGCAATTGGATTTACATCGCTCCAATAACGACAATGCTGGGAAGAAACAATGTCATTTGTTGAAAAGCTATCTGAAAAGCAGCGTCTTCCTCATTTAGTCTCTTTGTCTGCCTCTTTATGGATAATACAAAACCCGTTTCCAAATTCTTTTTTCATCAGTTTGCGGGCCCCACATGAGATATTCTTGTGACCGGATATTTTTGCTAAAATTTTTGTATAACTATAACGACTATACTAATGACTATAACGAAAACATGATTCACTAGTACCATAGTACAGTACTAAATAAAGTCTCCCTTTCACGGTTAACATCGCATGAAAAGACTTGATCTCACTAACATAAGTTGTAAGTTTTATGGTTTCTATGGTTACACGTGAACTTCAATTTCAATTTTCAATTTAGAAAAAAATCCAATATTTACATAAAAATTGGAATAATTAGTTAACTTTTATAGTTAGAGTATAAACTGCATGCGATTTAGTAGTTTGAACATATCCGACGCATTATTTACGCTGAGATAAATTTGAAAAATCAGTAACAAAAATTTTTTTTCTCTTTGTAACTCCATCCGGGGACATACTGTATATATATTGTTAGCAATTAGGCGTTTTAATTTAAAGATTGTTAAGAATTGTTATTTAATTTGATATTTCTATGAAACAGACTGTACCCGCTCATTCTGTTTATGTCTAGAGGGAATGAGCGTGTACCTGGTATTTGTTTACTTAAGGCCCCTCGACACTTGAACCGCTATCGGTTTCCGAAAAGATACATTCTTGGTTCGGACCCCGTGTCAATTGCTGTTCTAATAATTGCGTCTTGCGTAATAAAGTGTTTTTAATACGAGTGTCATTGTTTTTGAGTGCGCGCTACTTTATATTATCGTTATTAAAAATTTTGAAAAATTACCTAGCAATATATATATATAGATTTGTGTCGAAACCGGTTCCAATAAGTATTTAAAATATAAGCAAGTAAGAAGTTTCTTATATTTTTGTATGTGTATACAGTGTTGTAAAGCCCTGCTTTACCTCCTATATAATATAAGTATATATATACATATTTTATTCTTTTAGTTATTTTATTTGTGTTATTTTAAAAAATAAATATTAAATTCGTTGTTTAGATTTCGACATATGTGCTCACGTGAATCGCTGACTCCCAGTTCTACTTTTTTTTGCAAAATCAATAAATAATCGTTCAATTCTTTAATGTGATTGGTTAAGAAAATCGTACGATCTAGGTGCGAACTTCGATGAACTGGGAATCAACGAAAAAGAAATTCAGATCATAAGTTACCACCGAAATGTCAACACCTTTGTAGCAATTATAATTGGGAATAAATTAAATAAAACGACAGAGTTGGGTTTAATTTTTAACACCTCGCAACAACAGTGTGTCCCCGGATAGGTGAAACGACTCTTATAAAATGTAAATTTTTTTCGATATTAGCTGTCATCTTTTGGGGTTCAGGCCTGCTTGATTAAAGACTAATTTTGGACATATTTTAAAATTTTAAAAAACAAGTGAGTGTTGATACTGAAGCTAAAACTTCTTGTGTGTCAGGTAAAGTACCTTTTCTGTTTACAGTATGGTAAAATGTTACTAAAAAAATTTATTCATAATGAAAAGTTATGGCCATATGCAAATTTTCATCAGCCTACTTTGATAAAACCCATTATTTATTATTTTCGTTAATAGTACTTTATTACGACTTTTTGTTTTGAGATTCAGATATTCGGGAGAAATAAACAAAGCGTTCTGAAAATGTTCACAAGAAATTAAACAAGAAAGTTATTTATTCTCACGTGTGCTGTATAGCGTTTTATTCAATCCTACTATTTAGAGAAAACCCGTCTTAAAATTCGATAATTCCTGAGTAATTTCATGTCGACATGTCGGCGACGACTGCAGTTTTTGACATTGTCATTAATTGTCATGCTCTTAATTGATATAATATATATAAACAACCATTTGTGTCAAATTGATAATTGTCATCATTATGCATAAAATTAATAAATTGATTAAAATTAATACTTTATAGAAGTGAAATACTTAATTAACTTTCCACGTGGCTGTCCACCGTATTTTAGTTAACAGCCGTTACGTTTAAACAAAGAGTTGTTCCTTTAAAAGTCTTATATTTAACTAACTAACACTGGTTGAAAAAAATTTTCACTCACTCGTTTCTATGAAAGTCGGCAGAGTGAATACAAATAACAACTTTCAACACTCGTATCCAAGCTAGAAACTGACAATTTCGAAGGTAGGATTGAACAAATATTATATTGAAGCGCGTTAGAGCTAAAAAACAAAATGGGCCCAAAATGTGATTTTTTGACGTATACGACGTTTTGAGCCATGTTTGAAATTTCTATATGGTAAATGTTATATTGGAGCGCGAGAGAGTTAAAAAACAAATTGTGTCCAAAATGTGATTTGTTGACGTTATACGACATTTTGAGTCATAGCCATGTTTGAAATTTCTATATGGTAAATGTCATATTTGAGCGCGAGTTACGGCTTCCCATCCAGTGCGTCTTATATAAATATGCTGAATCTGCCGTTTGCGAATAGAAAAGGTATGTAAAGCGTTGCATACGTTAATTTAATTTAAGTTCTTCAATTGTTGTATTAGAGTCAATATTTGTCTGTTAATATAAAATAAATAAGTTCCTTTTTAAAAATCGGTCTTTCATTTGCGAAAAGAAAACCGGCGCAGTCAGTAGGATAAGTGCTAACAGTATATGGACTTATACTACTCGAAGAAAATATTTATAAACGCTGGTGAATTTCAATTCTTTATTGCAACGATCCTACAAGAAAACGGACAACACCCTTACACAAGAAGAACCCAAGGCTGAGGGCCAACATTCCTGAAGTCAAAAACCCAGAGTAAGGATCTTATTCCGAAGCTCGAACCACCCCAACTACGTGAGGGTCTTATTCCCAATACGTACCAACCCGAACCAGAGGACGATATTGCCCAGAGTTCAAACAAAGAAACAAAGAATCTGTTAAAGTAACATAAATAAGTTCTTTTTAAAAATCGGTCTTTGATTTGCGAAAAGAAAGCTCGCTCCAGCTTTGTTAAAAACTGTTATAATTCGGCGACATAAAGGTCGCCGATCCTTATACTAAAAAATTTAGTGTCGGTGATCATGTCCGAGTGAGCAGGCATTGACACGCCTTTACCAAAAACTACATCCCCAATTGGTCTAACAAAGTGTTTACAATACATTCTGTTCAAAATACTTTCCCGACAACATATCTGCTCAGAGATGCATCCAATGAAAAAATTATGGGTGGTTTTTATCGAGAGGAATTACAAAAAGTTAAGTATCCTGACGTCCACTTAGTGGAAAAAGTGCTACGGCGAAAAGGAAATCAAGTGTTTGTGAAATGGTTAGGATTAGGTCCGTCCCATAATTTTTGAATCTCAAAAAATAACGTTCTTTAGAACATATAAAATATGCATAAAGACATACTAAAAAGTTCGCAAGATTTTATTAACAATCGAATATTACAAATATGTATATTAATTACAATCTTTTTATCAACCAATAACCCCGCGCCAAAGTATTACATCCATCCGGTAATATGTAGCGTTTATCAACGCTCGATGAAAGAGCAATTTTATTCCTCAATTCAGTATACATAGTATGAAATTCTGATTTAAAAATGTACATGTTTTATGAATCGATCCGCCACATTCAACCACCCTTTTATACTCGGTTACACTCAAATCTTTATCTATAACATACTTCTTTACTCCTTTAGCTTTTTTTACATTATCACCATGTAAGGTGATGCTGTACGCTTTGGTTCCTGTTCCAACAAATGATGTTAAGCACCTATTTGGATATTCATCTTTCATTCTTCCCAACACAGATTGACCGGGATCCATTTCATGACCATTCTACGATGCTTGTGATGATAGTAATCGAGACAGATTTTTTATTCAACAATAACTGCCTTTTTAAAATACTCATTTATTCCATATACATTAATAGATTGTTTGTTCTGCTTTTCAAATACAGGTATCTATATACAGGTCCTATATCTCGTAATTTAAGTGGAAAAACAATATTTGAATAGCCCAAGCCACAGTTCAGGTAATTTGGGTACGAAGATGACCTCTGTGGTAAACCGTTCGGTTCATATAGTACGGATGTTACGGCCCATGCAAAGTATATATCATCGGCGTTTTGTATATTTATCATAGCACGTTTTACTTTTATTTGCGACGGTAGATCGATGTAATCAGATGCTCTTGTAGGATTATGTTTGTTTAAATTTAACTCCATATAGAAGATTTGCATTAAAGTCCACCTTAAATAAAATATTTAAACATTTATTTGTAATGCATAATGTAATAAAATCTCTGTTTCCGAAAAAACAAAAAAGGCTAATTAAATTTAAGATCTTTGATATTATAGATTAGGCGTTTAGAATTAAGAAAAATTAGGGCGATGTGCAAGAAAAAGGTAATTCATTGAAGTCCATGACCTTCAAATTTGACCTTGTCATTTACAGTTTTGACAGATATTGATTTTGGCGACTTTTCAGACGATTTTAGATTCTAAAAATATGCGAGATCGATAGATTGTATCGACTTAACCCATAGGCCGCAATTTCATCCATTTCAGTATCATTATTGACACCCGAAAGCGCGTTTATCTAAAAAAACGAAAAATTAGCAACAAAATTACAAAATCTTAATCAAATTTAAAGTTTATTAATAATTTCGAATATTTTCAAAATTGATAGTTATTTTCATTAAAAAATCAATTATTTTGGCCAACCTGTGTAATTTATAATTCCCGCCACTGAATCAACCAATCAGAGAGCCCAGATTCAAACTGAGCCGATCAAATTTGGATATCCAAGATGCCTTTGTCCAAAAAGGGTATATAAGGCCGCGCAAATTGACACCAACCGTTGTCGAATCTACGTAAAATTAACCTCAAATCTTCTAACCTAAGTCTGAACTTAGAATTTTTTTTTTGATAACTCAATTTTCTTTATCAAGTAAAAGTTAACAAGTGTTTCTGAATTATCTTCGAAGAAATCTAAACCATACCTGAGTTCGAGTTCAATTTTGGCTAGAGCCAAGCGTTGTCGAATCTACGTCAAATTATCCTCAAATCTTCTAACCTAAGTCTGAACTTAGAATTTTTTTTTTGACAACTCAATTTTCTTTATCAAGTAAAAGTTAATAAGTGTGTCTGAATTATCTTCGAAGAAATCTAAACCATACCTGAGTTCGAGTCCAATTTTCCATCCTGTTCCCAAAGGATCCGAGAACTAAATTTCTCGAGATTCCAAAACTACTAATACCGAAAAATACCCATCCCTCAAGATCAAGGTCAGCCAACCATTTTTAACTGACCTCCGGAAAGAAACAAGATAAGTGAACATATTTCCTTTTATCGGTAATCAAACGTTACCTGTTCCTCGTTTAACCCATTCCGTTCCTTCAGAACTCTTTAATTTTTATAACCATCGCGATTAAAAATCAAACTTAAAAGACACTCATAAAATAAACGCGTATAAGCTTTGTCTACGACAACACTCTTCTAAAGGAGTTACCACTTTCTTGCACAGACGTATTTATTTAGGCTAGTATTTATGTTTAGTTCGAAAATTTAAAAATTTAGTTAATAGATGTCCCCATGAACTTGCGACTTATTTTTATTCCCTGAGATTCATGTTCTTTTTGATTTAAAAATGTATTTTTGTTCGTTGCGAATCAAATAAAATATTTTTTTGTGAATTATCGTTTTTGTATAATTAATTTGTAATAATTGGTTTGCATAAAAAAAATTAATAATCGAACAAAACAAAATAACACAATATATTATGTCTCATTAGTCATTACGCTTACCTGAATCTCGTTCCTAGAATTCTGATATTTTTGACATTTTAATAATTTTATTTGACAGCTTTCCTTTAATTGCAAAAAATACAATCCAAAACTTTCCATATGTACCATATCTACTTTCCAATCTACTATTTTCAATTTTCATTTATGACACTCCATATTTAAATTTTGACCACTATTTTCTCGTTTTCCAGTTAAGGTTAAACATAAAAATATTTTATCGATTATTTTTGGGATATTTTATTTCATACAAGTAATTATTACATTATTGCAAGTAATTATGACAATAACATTATTATTAATAAAGAACTTAAAATTGTTGATGTCGTCCTTCTAAATATTTTTTCAACGTTCCCTTCGTTTGCAAGATATGCAACTTTTCTAATTCAGCACGATGCATTTCATTTAACACTTTGACGGTTTTCATCCCTTCTTTGGCTCCTAACACTAGTTTTTGAAAAACTCCAGATTCCCGACTTAAACATTCGTAAAAATCACTTTTGTTCAATCTACATAGTTCGCACGGTTCTAAAGCAATTGCAGTAGTTACTCTACGTTGTTCTAATAGAAGAGCCATTTCACCAAAATGAGCTCCATCATACAAATGACACATCTATAAATAATGATTTTATTGGAAATATTCAACAAGTTATTACCTCTATTTACCTCTACGCCAAAGTAAGTGTAAATGGCCACTGTTCCGGTTACGATGAAATACATACAAGTTCCAATCCTTCCAGATTTTATAATACAATCGCCGGTCATAAAATGTTCAACTTCCACCTTTGAAAGCATATTCTGAATAACTTCTGTGGGTAAGTCACTCGTTATATTCGCTTTTAATAAAACTGATCGATATCTGAACATTTTTATTTCATACTCAAGGCTTTCTAAGGAATAGTAATAAAATAATTAAAGTATATGTTTTTTTAAACAGTAAACCTAGTATTAATATTTATATTACAGGGATAGTCAAAATACAATTGCTTTATAATTTTCAGTCATGTTCCATTTTTAAGGCATCACATTGGTTACATTTACACAGCGATTTTTCTAATAAAATTTTTTCGTAATGTTTATAATAACCGCACGGAAACTGTTTAAAGTCGTAGAATAGCAGACCGTAAATCAGATCCAGCCAATCGGTCCCACCCTCGGCCGGTCCACCCGTTCATAACTAGTCTACTCACCAATAGATACGACACGGAAAGAGAAATAAACTTTTTCCGTGAAACGATATTAGACGACTTTAAACAGTTCTTCAGGTTATTATAAACATTTCGAAACATTTTTTTTAGAAAAATCGTTTCAGAATAATGTATCCTTCAACCGTATAATGCTCTGATCCGGAAGATACGGGACATTCTGTGCAAAGGTTTAAATATAACATAAATTAATTCCCTCATCTAATTACAAAGGTTTAAAGTCAGCGCATGTTAGCGTATTTTAACACCACTTTTGACAAAATACTGCTGAAGACCTAATTTATTGTTTATAATTGACTTGGTTACGTCAGGATACAAAAGGATTCAACACTAAACGATAATTGCTCGTTACATTTTAGAGATATCGATGTTGTATCTAATATTATATTTCTTATGAAACATTTTGTATATTAATAACTTGTTAATCTCCATCATCCTGATGTAATGACATACGCAATTATATATCATCATCTTTGATCTATAGAGGATGTCCCGAAACTCAACGTCAAGCGGACACCGGGTGAGAGGCCAACGCATACCTGTTCTGGTAAAAATAAGAACAAAATTCCATGTCTCTTAGTTAAGTGCTAATAGACATATTTTTGAAAATGTTAAAAATCGTTCCCGTACATCATATCTTTAGATACTACGGTCAGAAATGTTCGCAATTTAATAGTGATATCCTTAATAATGTATTCCTTAAGAACCATGCTACTATAGAAGTCACAAATCAAACCACAAAAGTCGTTAGTTTTGCACGAAAATGTTAGTTTGATTGAGTTAAGGTTGAAAGAATTTATGTCTATTAAGTTGGACATATGACTTCTAAAAAACAGAGTAGTACAATACCCTTTGGAAGTTATTTTAAAAGCTGGCCTGTTTAGTCAAGATGCCAAAATGGTATAACACTTGCCATTTTTCTTTTCCTAAAAAATATTATTGCCAGTTTTTCAGCAAAAAACGCGTTCGATTACCTGGTCTCCTCATTATTTGGCCTAAATCTCCTTGATTAGATAAATTAATAATTCCTTTTGCTTAATTTTATCATTAGGTAAACCTTATTCGACATAGTCCTTTTGCAGGATATAAGGGCAACCATCTTATTAAAATCACATTTTATAGTTCGTAGATATTGAGTGGCACATCTTCTAACAAAGTTAAGAAAAAATAAAGAGTAAATAGAAATAGCATACGAAAGTATGAATTTTTTAAATAACGTGTCTTTTGCAGAAAATCAGGCAATAATATTTTTTATGAAAAGAAAAATGGCAAGTGTTGTACCATTTTGGAAAGTTGATTAAACAGGCCATCTTTTAAAATTACTTGCCAAGGGTTATGTACTACTCTTTTTTAGAAATCGTAACTCAATCGAACTAATATTCTTTTTCGGAAAACTAACGAATTTTGTTGTTACTTAACTAAGAGACATGGAATTTTTTCTTATTTTTGCCAGAATAGGTATGTTTAAAATAAAAGGCTAGTTTGGCCTAAAGCAATGGCATATACGTAAAAACGATGTTTTTTGAACAAATCTTAGCCAAACAAGAATAGGTATGGGTTGTAAAATAGACACGATTTAACTGCGTAAATAACATTCAAGTGTTCATAATACTCAAATAAGGGCCGGTTTATCAATATCTAGTTAAGACGATTTATCTGCTAATTAAAATTGTAGCTGATAGATAACGTCGACGAATCGTTTATCCACCCGTAGTTTAGGGTAATCTTATAGATAAATGGGTTTAAAAAGGGTTTACCTATTAGATATTGTTAAAAAAATGTGAGCACAAGTTTGGTTGCTTGGTGAAAGGAAATGACAATAAAATCAAAATATAACGTCAAAAATAAATTAGCTTATAATTGTGGCGATGGATAAGCAAGAGAAAGAAAAGATCATCAAATTTTAGTACAGCAGAAAGGAACTTGCTGATGGATTTGGCAAACGAATATAAAAATGCTATAGAAAATAAATAATAACCTAGTAATTAAAAAAAATAAATAATATAATCTATAATCTAATATAGTATAATCTCGTCTTAATTTTAACCAAGATTGACAAAATTGTGTCCTTTTTTTAACCGTAATCTAACAAAAAAACGTATTCGTCCAACTCCTCAAAGTGGTTTTGACCTTTTTCTTTCTTTTATAATATGTGGTCGTCGTTTATAATTTAAGAGTTGGACAATATGCTCATCTTTATCGCTGTCTAATAAATATTCATGTAGGAATTCCATTATAAAAGAGGTTTTCGAAAACAAAGCACAATACCGAAAGCACACGGGAATGATAACCTCCAAAACATCAGCTGTTTATATCAACTTCATAAACTAAAGTCAATTATTCAAATTTCACCAATTACGTTTCATTTCCGGTTCTAATGTTAACACTCAGGGGTACCATCTATGTTCTATCTTGTAGGTTGCTGCCTGTTGGGTAGAATGTTGCTGGATAAACGGTTCACTGAGGTTATTTGTTAGGCAAGTTTATCCATGAGTTGCGTATCTAACAGATTTAACTTGACATTGATAAACCGGCCCTTAGACTCATACCGCTCAAATTCTACAAGTAATTACAAGTAATCTACAAGTAAACAACCAAGTTATATCACTCTTGCATACGAATAACCCAATCAGTTATATTATAAATTTCACCGACTTTTTTGAGGAATTAAACAAATATACAAGAATAAATATAATTAATAATGTAATACACCACACGGATTTTCTGATTTATTTTCAATTGCCACTAGAATAATTTGTACTAACTTGTCTTGTAGCACAGTCTAATAAGTTTTAGTGTTTGTAGATATACAGGGTCCTGTTGTGTATGGAAATGGTCGGTTATCTCCAGAAGTAAGATAGCTAGCGAAAAATGTTAAGGTACAAAAGTTTTTTGTGTTTTTTTAATCTATTACAACATAATATTACAATCTATTATGTATACAGGGTCACTCAAAAAGTAATGACAAAACAAAGTAGCGTTATCTTTAATAGAATACTCTGTATATTATTCCATATTTCAGGTCGAAATTCTAAACAAAATTTATATAGCACATCATCAACCTAAACTTAACTGTTTTCGAAATATTGAACTTTGCAAATTACTTCCTTATAAATTATGTAAAAATATGTTAGTCGATTATATTTATAGCTCAAGTTATTTTTGAATGTTTCTATCTCCACAGCAACGCTGTTGACATAACATATGTCAAACATTTAGTACATTTAGATTGAATAATTTGCGCTCAATGATAAATTACGCAACTAATTCGATAAATCCGTACGTTTTCATAGTTCGATATCTAGAAAACGGTTAAGTTGAGGTTTATGGTGTACTATATGAATTTTGTTTAGAATTTCGAGATGAACTGAAATATGGAATAATACACAAGATGTTCTATTAAAGAAAACGTAACTTTGTTTCGTTATAACTTTTTGACTGACCTGTATACTTAATAATTTGCCTTTAATGTAATAAATTTTTAAAAAACTAAAACTTTTGTATCAACATTTTTCACAGCTATCTTACTTTAGGAAATAAGCGACCGTTTTCATACATACCAGCTACCCAGTATATAGTGAAATTCCCCTAACTCAAACTTTTATATCTCAAATTATCCTTTAAGGTCCATTACTACCATCTTTTAGTTAAATTTATCTTATAGATAAACACATATACTAGCCAATCAGAGCGCGTGAAATAGCCGTAACCATAGTAATAATCCCATAGATAGCTTAACCAGAAGATGGTAGTAACGAGCCTAAGTCGAATAATTTTAGAAGTTATAGATAATAAACGAAAGGCTTAAAATTGTGTTCATGACAATATCGACAAAGTTATGCGTAAATGGGTTATTAAATGGGTAATAAAAAAAATACAAAATATGGAAAGCAGATATAAAAGAAAGAAAAATCGCAAATTGATACAAAAAGATAATTGGGATGGGGAAGATCTTCCTTTGTTAAAAATGAAGTGCAGTATTCATTTCATGAATATACAGTGCGCTCGTACAGTCCCCTATATCTCCTATAGGCGATAAAATCATTATAAACGCATAATGGAAGAATCCCTGAAACGGGTCTAAAGATTTACATTGTTTGCAATTTTTTGATGTTTTACAATTTTTTCCGCCATATTTAATGAGCAATCCTCCATTTTTATTACGGAACATAATAGTTATTTTTGATACAAGATAGCGAAATGACACTTTTGCATTCAAGAACGAAAGTCTTTTTTGCGAGCTTTAGCGAGCAACTGAACTTGTATAAAGACGTGTGTGTTGTATGTATAATATACATATTATCTACAGTGATAACTGCGGTTATCAGAACAAAAACTCTATTTTGTCCAACGCCCTATTAAATTTGTCAATTGAGAAAAATATTGTTATAATACAAAAGTTTTTGGAAAAAGGCCATACGCAGATGGAAGTGGACAGCATGCATGCTTGTATTGAACGAAGATTGAAGAATCGCGATATTAATGTTCCTGCGGAGTATGCTGTCCACTGCCAAAAAGGAAGGCAACTACCAAAACCTTACACTGTCCACTATCTCAAACACTCATTCTTTCGAAATTATTTAAGTGTAAATTTTGTTAACTCTATTAGACCAGGTACTCGCTCGGGAGACCCAGTTGTCCATGATTTAAAAGCTATAAAGT